TGGAGCGCGCCGCCTCCTCCCCGGCCGCCGGGCTCGGCCCCCAGGCGGCCCCCGCGTCACCGAAGCCGCCGGCCCCGGTGGGGACAGGTACGTGCGGGCGGGGAGGGCCGGCCTGCCTCTCCGCCTTCCTTCGCGGGGCTCCCGCCGCGGCCGCGCTGCTGCTGCTGGGAATGGCGGCCTGGAGCCCCACCCTCCTCCTTAGGACCGCCCGGTTGAGCTGACTGCGGTTCGCGGGCCTGACGCCTGGGCAGCCTGGGCTCTGGGTTCAGATCACACACCCCCCCCCCCCCACCCCCCCCCACCACCACCAGTGCTCCCTCTAAGCTGAGTGAGTGTGAGCTGGCTCACGGTTTTTTAGCCCCCGGCTCACACATTTTTGTCTTCGCTCAGGGAGGAGGGCCCCAGAGCAGACTCATTGATGCAGGAGCCCAATCGCCCGCTCACCCCTTGAATGCCGGCAGCTCATCAAGGAGGGCTTCTGCTGCTCACGAGACTCCGCCGCTGAGAGGGCGCATCGCCCTCCACCCCCGCCCGCCCTCTGCCGCGCGATTTGCAGGGGGGAGCGAAACGAGTCCTAAGGTGTATTGTGGCAAAGTGGAACCACAGACCAGGGGGGCTTTGCAGAGTCACACGGAACTGGGACTCGAAGCTCGTATCTGGCCCGTCTTAATGTTCTCCCCTCTGCTATTCTTGAGGGGAGATATAAGCAAATTCCTTATTCAGTCAGGTTCTGTGGATGTCATAGAAGAGAAATAGAAACTGTTGAGCACGTACTCTTACACTGTAAATTGTTAAATGACATTCGAGTGGAATTTATAGAAGCCCCCCTTAGGTTGGTAGCAGGCCAATCGGATAGAATCAAGGTACAATTTCTCCTTGCTTCACGAGATCCGGAGATCATTGAACTGACCGCTATGTTTCTCCATGGGTTTATAAAACGGAAGAGTGACCCTGACCATATTAATGATTCTTAATTTATAGCTCTAAAAACTTAAGTTTAAAAGTTTAGAATGCCAATTTATTTTATGATTTAGGCATCTTTTGTATGGTCAAATCTAGCTTGTGACTTGAGTTAGGCCTGACATAGCCACGACTATCTATTTTATAATTTCTTTTGGATTGTATTATTGGTAAATGCTTCTAATATTGTATGCCAATAAAAGGTATTTGAATTTGAATTTGACTCAAAGCTCGTATTGAAAGCAATGTTGTCGGTCATTAAGGTCTCGTATTGAAAGCAATGTTGTCGGTCATTAAGGTTGCTACCGAACTAGGGGTGCAGGTCGCCAGGGGGTCCTGGAGACCTCCCAGAATCCCAGAGGGGTGTCAGCAGTGTTCCCTCTAAACTGAGTGAGTGTGAGCCAGCTCACCGTTTTTTAGCCTCCAACTCACACACTTTTGTCTCTTAGCTCAGGAAGGAGGGCTCCAGAACAAACTAATTGATGCAGTAGCCCAATTTCTTGCTCACGGCTTTAAGGCCAGTAGCTCACAAAGCAGAATTTTTGCTCACAGGACTCCACAGCTTAGAGGGAATGTTGGCTTATCAACCTCCAGGCAGGGCCTGGAGATTGCCTGCTATTACAGCTGATCTCCAGACAGTAGGGAGCAGTTCCCCTGGAGGATAGTTTCTGTTGGGATTGAACCCTGCTGAGATCCCGCCCCAAACCCTCCCCTCCCTACGTTTCCTCCCCCCCCCCGAATTGTCGTGAGATTTTTGGATGTGTGGGTGTGTGTTTAACCCTGTCACCCACACTTCCCCCCCCCCCGGTTCGTGTGTCTCCTGTGTGTCGCCCCGTACCAAAGGCAGAAGTGCAAGCTTGGAATTCACTAGTCTCTTCATAAAATAAAACTTATCTTTATTATAGAAAAACATTCAGAGTCCCTAGTTTCCTAAACATTAATAGAATACACACAGAAATAAACATTCAGCAGAGTTTTTCCCACCCCATGCATGTGCTCGAGAGGCCCTCTCTAACTGAATCCTTTCGGATTCAGCTAAAGTCTGTGGGCTCTGACCAGTATTTAAACCCAACATCAAAGAAGTCCCTTGACGATTGTATCACCGTTAACATCTAGAAGTGGAAATTGCTTATTACAAATTGTTTTCCTAGAAGTAGGGATTGTAAATCCCTTCCTTGGTTTCACACAACAAAAGTTCACATTCCAAAAAGGATCAATACAGTGTCATCCAGGTGTTCCCCAATCAGGGAAATAAACTGTGCTTTGATGTTTACCAGAGAGATGAAAGCAGGGTGTGTGTGTGTGAACCCTCTGTATTTCAGGAAATTAGCTTGTCTTGCCAGCTGGTCAAATGACCATATATCTTATTGTCTAGGAAATTGGTGTTATTGGCAAGTTTCACATCTGTGGAGTTTATCTCCAGGTTTTCCCCAACCCCGGGGCTGGGAATGATAACTGATCTCCAGATATCAGTTCCCCTGGAGAGGATGGCTGCTTTGGAGGGTGGACTTTTGTTTTATTAGGGGGACTTCATGCTAGTCACTCTCAGCCTAAATCTATGTCACTGGGGGAGGTTGTCACGGGGTGGGGTGGGGGCAGGAAAAGGGACAGCTGTGTATGCCCCCCCCAACTCCTTAGAGGAAGAGAGGGATCAAAAAAAACTAGGTAGACAGATGGAATCCTATACAGACAAATACGTGTTGGTATGGGCCTTGTCTGTTTCTAAGTTACCACCTGTTTGCTAGTTTGGTGTAGTGGTTAAGTGTGCAGTCTCTAATCTGGGAGGACCGGGTTTGATTCCCCATTCCTCCACTTGCACCTGGCTGGATGACCTTGGGCAAGCCATAGGTCTGATAAGAGCTGTCCTTGAAAAAGAGCAGTTTGTGTCAGAGTTCTCTCAGCCCCACCCACCTCACAGGGTGTCTGTTGTGGGGAGGGGAAGGGAAAGGAGTTTGTAAGCCGCTCTGAGACACCTTTGGGTAGTGAAGGGTGGGGTGTAAATCCAATCTCTTTTCTTCTACCTGCTGACAATGGCTCCCACCCAGCCATGTTTGCCTTTCACCAACACTCCTTCAAGTAAAAAGCTCTGGTGTGCCTAAAACAATGTCCTTGCCCCTGCCTGTATTACCTTTAGTGCACCCGGTTGATCACAAAAAAATGTACTGCCAATCGTCTATCACACCCTAGTGACTTCCTTTATTGATCTTATTTCCGGTAAAGGAAATGCATGTCAGCCGGGCACGGGCATCGGTTTCATGAAAACACATGCTGGCTCTTGAAGTCAAATGGCTCCTTCGAGGGCTGTGATGATGTGAGAATCCGCCTTCATAATTCCAGCTGTTGATGCACATCTGGGGGTGGGCTGAAGGCAGCCTGCGGCCCATCACTGACCTGAGCTCTTAGCACTTCTGTTGGGGGATTCATGCAAAGAATGTTGGTCTGAGTGGATCGTGATCAAATCCTGCAAAGCACTTTGTGTGTGTGCTTTGTGGTCTGTTGTCTTACTTTTTGTGGTGGCTCAGAGGTTAAGACGCTGAGCTGCAGACTGGAAGGTCTGTAGTTTGGCAGTTCGAGACCCGAGTGCCGTGTGACGGAGTGAACTCCTGTCTCTGGCCCCAGCTCCTGCCAACCTAGCAGTTCGAAAGCAAGAAATTGCAGGTAGATAAATAGGTACTTGTCCTGTCTAGCGTGAGCTTTCCAGCTGAGGCAAATGCTTTTCCAGGTGTGAGTCAAAGCACAGCCAATGAAGAGAGCTTAAATTGTCTTTATTATTTAATTTCACATGCATTCAGTAGATCATTTACTCACAATCGAACTGATAGCTGGATAGAGCGTTACATCTTTCTGATCTAGGTCAATCCTATGGCCTTGGTGAGAAAGAGATGGGCTTCCCCTCTCCTTGCAGTAAGGGTTGATGGACAAAGAAACTGAAAAGAACAATAAAATCTCTTTGCGCCTCTGAGCTCAGGAAATTACTCTTAATGAGCCAGTCAGAGGGAAACTTCTGGGACCCCTAACTGTGAACTACAATTCCCAGGTGCAATAAGTCTTAAAGATACAGAGCAGTTTTACTAAACTACAGGTAACGCTGACTGGGGCAGCACAGTACTGCTTCGGTGGGAAAGGTAACAGCGTTCCATGCACCTTGGTGTTTAGTCATGCCGGCCACACAACCACGGAAACGTCTTCGGACAGTGCTGGCTCTTCGGCTTGGAAATTGAGATGAGCACCGCCCCCTAGATTCGGATTTGACTGGCTTTCGAGCAAAGGAAGCCTTTATCAGTAGAAAAGAGCAAGAGTCGAGTGGGGCCTTAAAGGCTAACAATGTGTGGCTGGGTAGGAGCTTTTGCGAGTCACCGCTCCCTTCTTCAGATACCTGTCATCTGTTACCTGCTTTTTAGCATGCTGGTAGGATCGATATGCCCTCTGCTGTTTTCTTAGGTTCCAGTTAGATTGGAGGTTAGGTCATTTTTATTTTTTCACGGCCTGCCCTGGGTGCCCCTATTGGATAGGAAGGCAGTGGGACAAACTAAACTAAAGTAGCCCAGATGCATGCACAGAATGCTCTCAGGAGAGCATCTGCCATGGTCCATCCCCTTGAGAAGTGCTGGATCCTGTAAATCTGTCGCTCACTCATTGATCCCACTCCCCATTTCCTTCCCAATCTTACTCGCAGTTGGCAGAGACGGGAGGAACATCGCCAGAGGAAGCGGAGGCTACACAAAACCGGCACGCCATGGCAGCAGCTGCTAATACCCGATTACCTCGAAGTAAGTTCTGATCAGTGGGGGCCGGGGGGGAGAGGGGAGTCGTTGCCCCCCTTCTCGGGTTAGCTTTGAGGGCAGGCCTTGATAGGTACATCTACCTGTTAAAGTTACAGTATGAGAAAGGAATTGATACCATACCCTCAGCCCGGACTAGTCAGTCACTGTCAGCCAGGGGTCATTTCCTAGAAAAAGAGGTGCAGGAGCTCATTTGCACAACTCATTTGCATATGCCACACCCCCTGATAAAGGGCAGGCGTGTTTAAAACGAGTTATGCAAATGAGTTTAAATTCACCACCACCACCCCCAGTCTCTCCGCAAAAGCGGAGAGGCTCAGGGGGGAAGGCAGGCATGTCTGCCTCTGTGCCTTCCCCTCCCACGGCGGGCTGGCTGGAGATGGGGAGGGCACGGAGGCAGGGAAGCCAGGGATTTAAATCCCCCTTTGAGTCTCTCTGGGGGCGGGACCTGGACTCCTTTCCGCCGGAGCGCTGCTCTGTGGCGCTCCGGGAGGAAATGATCCCTGCTGTCAGCTATATAACTAAAAAACCACCTCCTCCTCCTCTGCCAGCTGGGCTGGAGCCGGGGGATGCATAGGTGATGCTGGGGTGAGGAAATGCAGGAAGATAGCAGATAGTGGCAAAGTGGCTGGGGGCCCGGGGCTGGGTGGTTGAGCTGCCTAAACAGCAGAACCAAGGCGAAGGCCCCCCCCCACATGCCTCTTTCTGTCCTTGTTTTTCCCCCATGCCACACTGAACAGCTCCCAACTACTCTACCATCTCCCCACCCTTCTTTCAGCTACTGCCATTGAATTACCAGTTGCCCGACAGATCCCCCCCCCTTATTATTGTAACAAAGAGGGAGGAGGAGATGAGAACGTGAGAAGTCGGCCAAGAGGCAAGAAAGTGACGGATGCAAAAGGCAGGAGCTGCCATTCATGAGGGCTGGCCTGTGACCCACTTTCAGAGGCTTTGTGACCTGTGTTCCCTCTAAGCTAGCTCACAGGATTTTTAGCTCACACATTTTTGTCTCAGCTCAGGAAGGAGGGCTCCAGAGCAAACTAATTTAGGCAGTAGCCAAATCGCTCTCTCACAACATTAATGCCAGTCGCTCACAAAGTAGAATTTTTGCTCACAAGACTCCACAGCTTAGAGGCAGCATTGTATCCACTTTTGGGGTCCTGACCCACAGGGTGGAAGCCCTGCTATAAGCAATACAGGAAGTAGATTAGAACAAAGTAACCACAAAAGTGAGAAAGTAGGTTGCTAGTAGCAAATCAGATGAGAATTGTTCTCTCCTATGGCACAATTCTTATTTTGTTTTTACTGTGGTGCAGCTTTGTGACAGTCGTATTTAAAAAATAATAAAATAAAAATACCTTTAGCATAGGATACTGTACAGCCATATGCGCCATTATGGATTTCTATATTTTTGCAACATTGTAGCCATCCCGGGCAGGTTCCCTGGAGAGAGAGCATAGATATTCTATCAAATAAATAAATACATAAGCGTGCATTGGTTGAAATGTTACTTCGTTTTTAAAAATTGATTGCCAGGCAGTTGTTTATCATGCCAGATTGCAGATGGTATATTCATGATACCACGTGGTCTGCATGATGCAATTGGATTTCTCTGTGCCAGGAAGCCCAGGATTTAGTTAAGTACCACTTAAGTTGTAGGCTAAGGAGTGTCCTGCTGGGTGAGAGTAAGAGGTCATCTGTCCTCCAGCTCTCTTCTGCTTCCCACAATGGCCAGCCAGGTGCCTACGGAAGGCTCACAAGTAGGGTTCAAAGGCAACCGCTGTCCCCTCTTATTGTATTTCTGACATTGCCTTTGCAAATTCAGCAGCTGGATGAGCTTGTAGAGGACTGGCATAGCTGACTCTCGGCAGCCATTGACAAGATCACTCCCCGACACCCTCTGCGCCCTCGCTCCAAGCTTGCTCCCTGGTTCACCCAGGAGTTGCAGCTAATGAAGTGAAGGCTAAGGCAGAGAGACGGTGGCGGCGCACCCGCAACAGAGCTACAAGAGCGTATTATAGGATGTTTATCAGATCCTATGAGATGGCAGTCAAAGCTGCTAAGAGAGAGTGCTTTGTGGCTACAATTGCATCTGTGAGCTCATTGTCAGCGAGCTGCCATGGTGTTCTGTGTTAGTTGTATCTCTGTACAGTTGCTAACCCCCCCCTCCCTGCCTGTGCGCCAGTATTTTACTCTGCTGTAATGCCTAAGCCAAACAACTGGAGGATGTGATGGGGGAGTACGCTTGACTGCCAGCTTGTTGCTTTTAGAGCCTGGGAACTGCACCTGTATTATGTCTGGAGATAGCCTGGTTCTCAGGGAATGAGCGCGCAACCGTTTCCTTTTACCCGCCAGCGGGAAAGTGACCCATTGGTTCTGTACCTGGTTCAAATCCCTTTATCATGTTTGCCCTAACCGTTTGTAGTCAGTTCTAACAAAGAACGTGTTTGAGTGTCTTTCCAAAGCTTTGAAATAAATTTTGCTTTTCTTTAAAACGTGGATTTATTCTCGATGCTTGGGGATCCAACACTCATGCCTAGCCCAATTGTTTAGAACGATTCGGTCCATCACTACCCTGCCACAAGGTGGACCAAATGCTAAGGAACTGGATATTGGCTGTGAGGCCTTTGTGAGCTACTTCGCAGATGTCTTGTTGCTCCGCCGTGACCTCCCCATCACACTTGAAACAGTGAGTGAGCTCAAGGCTCCATGCACGTCTTCTGGTCAGGTTATGGATCAGTTCAGTCCACTCAGCCTAGAGGAAGTTGACAAATTGCTCCTAACTGTATGCCCCACCACGTGCTCCCTGGGTACGTGCCCTTCGTGGCTAATTAAAGCTGGCCACGAGGGGTTTCGAGGTGCCCTACGGGAGATTGTCAACAAGTCTGTCTTGGAGGACTGTTCCCGGGGACACTTAAGGAAGCGGTGGTGTGTCCTGGCTGTTGTGTTCTGGGCCAGCTGAAGTGTTCGAACCGTCTTCGGAGGCACTCTGTGATCTTGTCTGTATGCCTCTGTGCGTGGATGACAGCAGCAGGATCATTCTGTTCAGAAAAGAGTGCAGCTGAATTTAGACACTGTCATCTAGTCCGTTGCTGACCACGAGTACCAAAAATTTTTCATTATTAAGAACAGTCATAAGACCAGCAAAATAAACCAAAATAGTACAACACCGAGTCTATGACATAGAATCCTTGCTGACCACGAGTGTCCATTTAGGATGTCTGCTGCTTCACCTGCATAGAATGGAGGAGACGGGGCCATGTGTACATACGTAACCTCTCATTTAATGCGTTGTGGCGGGAGGGCCCTCTAATATGTTTTTAACCGCAACTGAATGCGTGGGTGAGTTGGGTGAGACCTTGCCTCTCTGTTGCTGTGCTCCCGTATTTCTGGCATGTTTCCTTTGGCGTGGATCAGACGCGGTCTCCATCCTCCACTGTAGAGACTCCTGAGTGGGTTTGTGTGCGGCAGGGTCCCAAGCCCTTTTTAGCCTCTGGGTATCATTGGAGTTCTGACACAACGTGGTGAGCACAGCCACAAAATCACTGCTGCCACCACAGTGTCTCCCTTCAGTCATACAGTGACCATCCTTGTGCTGTGGTGGCAGCCACTTCCAAAAAAAAATTGTTTTTACAAATCCGCACAGCCGATCAGTTCAGAGAGAACAAGGAGATCAATCTGTCACTGACTGAGAACAATAAGTGGAAATAACCCAATACCTTCAGATCAGCCTATCAGATCCCCAGTGACCAGTCAGAAGGCTTGCGGGGCAAATGCCCCACCTGGCCCCAAACACTTTCTAAGAACACTTGGCGGGTCACAGGAAGACCTGGCGGATGTCAGTGGGCACCCTGTTGGACAGGGACCATGTCTCGCCATATCTTGGTTGCCTGTGACTTAGGAGCAGGGCCGGCCTGTTATTGTTAAATTTTAGACTGTCAGGGCGACGGCTTAACAAGGGCACCATTCTGGCCAGCCTTGTCCCCTCCTCACCCCACACAGGAAGCCTCCCTTGCTGGCTTCTTGCTCTGTCCACGGCAAGAGACTCCCCTCTTTGCAGCCCCCCAGACAGAAAGAGAAGGAGGCGCGGGGGGGGGGACAGGCATGGGGAACAGCCCAGGATGACGGGAAAGTGCCGCTCGACCTCTGCCGCCCCCGTGGTCTCTTTGGAGCTCCTTTTGCAGCCTGGCACAGGCCCCCTCCCCCTCCCCTCGAGCGATCCCCCCCCCGCATGCATTTGTAGCTCGCCCCCTCGGCCTGTCCACTGTGGCTCTGGCACCTGCCCCCGTCCAGCCCCGCATGGGGTCTTAGGAGAAGCAGGTTTTGTATCATCGGCATACTCATGACACCTCCTCCCAAATCCCCAGGCCGTCTTCTGCAGGAACTTTGTGTACATGGGCAGTAGAGCTCTGACAAGCTCCATAGTAGGGGGCAGAGCCCCCAGAAGAAAAGAGGGTTCAAAAGTAGCATGCAGATCACAAAATTTAAATTTTATTACATTTTAACGTTCAACAAACAAATAAAAAAATACCAGTTAAACCAAAACAATATAAACGAGTTACACTGGTTGTGACTCAGCATTACACTATTATTAACAATTATAACAACATTTTAACTTCCATACTGAAGTATACATAATAGAGCAGTAAGTTTTAACTATCTTTTATTGTTGCAAGATATCTACTGAAGATGAAAAATTGAAGGATTATATGTCTTGTGACATATAATCTATAAGAGGATACCATAATGCTACGAAGGAAGATATTACTTTTTCTGAGTTTGATTGGTTCAGTTGTACTGTGATTTTTTCCCGTTACCAAAAACTCCCATATCTTTCTATACCAAGAGGAATGTATAGGAGGTTTTGAATCTTTTCATGTTACTGCTGTAACCACCTTAGCTGCTGCACATAGCAATGCTACTAATTCCTCTCTGACTGTAGGGACATTGATTCCATGCCAGTGATTTAAAAGGAATAATTCTGGGCT